GTTATTGAACTTGGGGCGAGAGGGGAGGGGGGGGGGGCATTCCCCCAGCGGCCCTCAAATAAATCCTATGTATAAAGTTTCTAAATCAATTTATAAATTTATAAATTGAATTCCAAACTGTATAAATTTAATAGTTATCCAGTTGATTTTTCATCTGGGTAATCCCAACTTGTTGATTAGTAGGGCATTCCCCCCACTGCTCTCTCAGTGGTCTTCAAATCAGTCCTATGCATAAAAGTTTAGCTTCATTGCATTTTGGCACAAATCATTTAAGCAAAAAGCGCGCATCGCTGAGAGGATCTGGGCAGTAGCAGGAGAGAAATATGCAAATTTCATTACATGGGCGCCTCTTTTACTCGCTAAAAAGTGCGCGGACGCATTTTTTATAGTTTTCTTCATGGATGGAGGCGGCGGCTTTGTTACTTGGATGGCTTTTGGTGGAGTTTGTTGAAGCTATGTATTATACGAGAGGTAACACCACTGCTACCTACCAACGTTGGCTTGTTTTCCTTCTTCAGCAAGGTTACTGGGCAGAATTGTATGCTCCAGAACACATTCTGTCCAAGTTTTACCCTTTCTATGTTTGGCCTCAGTGAGGAACTGCTGAGTCGAGAATTGCAGTCGTTTTTGATTTCTCTTCTTGCTTACATCGAAAAAATCTCAAGCAAAGACGCAAGTTGCTCTTTTTTTGACACTATATCCAGAAAGAACAAACTTGATGGACCGAAACGTCTTAACTCAATTGTTTTTTCCTATTACTTTTCCTCTGCTTATACACCTTCCTTACTTTGGCACCCTAGATCAACCTGGATGCTACAATCGGCTTAGAAAATATTTTTTGGCAAACCAACAAAAGTACGAAAAAATCCATTAATAATATTAATAATGTACAAAAATTAAGAATATAAGGCACCTGGATAGTTGTTATGAGAACTTCTCAATGGCACTACTAGAATGTTCTGTCTCGCGGGGAGACTTCGGTGGAAGAATTTTCACTCCTGAGCTACATATCTTCGGAAGCCGACCGAGTGGTCGTTTACTTTCTCCTCGAGTATCCACTCCTCTAGCCCGTTTCGACAACTCGTTATTGTCAGGCTGACCAAAATTCCTCGTCGTTGTTGCTTAAGAAAGCATGGCCAGATTTCTAGAATAGACGTTGCTGCACGAGCTTGGATATCCGTTCGATTTAAAAAGTGCCATGCCGCTAGAGTTGGATTGTTAAGTAGTGCAGATAGCATCTGGCGTGTGATTAATTTCGTTGTCGTGCATAGAGCGTTTAAGTGATGCCGAAAGGAGAAGTCTGTTTCTTGCAGTAGTCCTACTTCTAGGTCTTAAGCAAAGGAAGCAATGACAGTTTGTTTTCGGGGCAAGCAGGAAAGAAAGGAATGTGTTCTTGGTTATTATAGGACGGAGGGAATGTCCACTTTTTTGAATGACAGTATGAATTACTTTTGAATGGAGGGATTTCTCCGTATCCCCCGCTTTTTGTGTGAGACAAATAAACTTAAGGTTGATGTGAGCAGTATCATCTTGTCACTAGAGTCCGATGGCGAGCTTGTCGGCTGTTTCCCCTTTCGAAAAATACCTAAAAATTGAATGCTGTTTTCAATTTCTGGCCCAAAAGGGTCCGGTTTAATGTGGTCTTCGCCTTTTGACCTGAACGGGTTCAATTTGTCGGTAAATTAAATTTTGGGATATAAAGGCGTTTTTTGTTAAATTTTACTGTGATGAACAACAGGGCATATTCCGATTCCGAATTTGCAATGCACGCAGTATTTGTTTTGCTCGGAACGTGATCGCGGACGATGGCTGGAGAAGCGTCGCATTTACAAAGAGCTCGTTGCACTCAGAAAAAGACCATTCGTGAATATGTACTATTTTAAGTAAAAAATTAAATTTGAAAGAAATTAAATTCGAAATCTTTCAAGATGCGCATCAGATGGTCCTTTTTCTTGGAAATGCTGAATTTTTTTATATTTGTTTAATTCCTTCTGAATGCAAAATCATCCTGAAGTGCATCTTCCTTGAGTCATGCTGAGAGGAGGAATTGGGCGGATAGCAACATCCCAAATCTGTGTTTAGCAAAATTTGATTACTTTATTCTCCTCCAAGGTAAGCTGCTAACTTGGGAACCTGAAAAGTTAGAAAGCTGAAATTTTAAGATTTTCCTGGCCCACGTAGAACCTACTGACTTCAAGCTCTGATCATTTCGAG